TTAAATATATTATTTAGTGCATCGCTTACTATATGGTAGGCATTCTTTCAACATTATAAAAACAGTATAAATTATTGATGACATTGATACAATGAGGCTATTACGTTGCTCTTTCTAATCATATGCATACCAAACAATAAATAATTTTAAAACAACTACACGAAACCTATACGTTATTAGTTATTACTTATTATCCAACTATTAACCATATTGCATTAAAATATGTTATGTGTAGTTAAGTATACATACAAAGAAAAAATTTGTCTCTAATATTTTGTAATTTTAATGTACACTTAACATTTTATTGATCTATATAAATATATTATATATTTAGTTCAAATCCAATCATTAAGTTATATTTCCATTATTATTTATGTACTTATTAATAGATATATCTACCTACACAATACTCATTAATGGCATTCTGACATTTGAATGACATTGTTGTTCATTAGGTACTCTTTGGACTACTGCAATTAGCTCTACAATTCCAATTAGGTATTTACTATACCAATTCATAAATAAAAATATTTAACACTGCTCACAACAACTAAGTGCTTTTTGAAATTTGAGGTACACTTATAACATAACCTATTGTTAATATCTTCTTATTATTATCATTCTTCTTCGCCCATCTATCCCAACTAATACATAAATGGGTTTGGCAACCCTTTCAGACTGTAGTAAATACATCTTCACAGAACTCTGTACCCTACTCCTCTCCTTTACTCACGCCAGCTATTTTCATGTCATTCTTAGTATTCTGACCATCTATTTTTTCTAGGGGCTTTCCTCTCTTTCCTTTAATATTTACATTCGTAGCCAATGGCACTGTTTCTGAGTCGCCACTAATTATAACATGACCAAAAAATCTCAAATCATTGCGACTAGTGAATTTAATATATTTATTAAAATACAAATATCACTTTATGATTATATTATTTTGTATGATAGTTATATTCAAATTCCAAAGACTGAAAGCCCAAACCTATCATACCATATACCTACAATGATTTAAGTAGAAACTAACAAACTAAAAATTGTTCATTTACCAAAAATAATACCGTAATGTACGAATACATGTAATGGACATGCATTGTATGTTTAGTTACTATAATACCATCATACCGGTAACCATGTCATAAAGTGTCCAAATACTACGACATCGGGGGCTGATAAAATATTGTATGTAAATGTTTAACACTGATGCTCATTTCTGACCCCATTTTATGATTTTATAATGCATTAATTCAAATTCTGACTCTTTTAAAATTTTAAGTATACTTGAAGTCCATATTTACCAATCCTTAGAAATTTATGGCATTTATGGAGTATCTTTTGCCGACACTAATTTCTTTTTTTCAGATGAGAACCGCCCTTTTTATAGTTAATTGTTAAAAGCGATTTTTTTTTTAATGTTAATAAAATATTAATCAAGATTCGAACAAGAAGTTTCAGAGTTATTAAACTTAATATTATGTACCAACTACCAAGGATAATAATATTATAGTCCTTAATAATGGTTTTACATAAAATATAAAATAGATTAATATTTAGTCTAGTACTTATAACAAATTATGAATTGTTAATACATTAATTTTAATTGCTATAACTTACAAGTTACAATCATCATAGCGGGGGGCTTCTAAGCCTTTAATCATGGATTATTATCCTCAGTAGGTATTTAAAGTTTAATAACTCAGAAACTATAAAAGTTTGAATTTCGATCTCCGAAGGTACACTAACATTGAAAAAAACCTCTTCTTAAAGCTGTGCAATAAAAGGCTGATTCTCGCTAGAAAAAAGAGATGTTTGTACCACGACTTGAGTTTAAGTGTTTAAAAAAAAAAAGGTCCTCCAGTGCATTTAAAAATTACCAATATCACAATTTATTTAAATGAACTCATTATTGAACGAAAAAAATCAGGGGAAAGCACGTTCGGTGCATCACTTGAGTATACCTAATAGTGATGATAGGTAAGTACCTGTATAACATTTTTAAAAAATAAACAAACAAAACATAGTTTGTTGCCGGTGAATTAAATCGTCTCGAAGTATACTTAGATTACGCTGGTACAACTATATTAATAAACTACGCCGTATTGGATAATGCGAGTACCCACATGAAACCGTTTATCCCTGAACTCTTCTTGCGCGGATACTAATTTGAATTAATTTTCGTCTGCGAAACCAAACAAATAGGTTCTGTACGCCCGCGTTTGATAACAGCATAAATAATATATGTATGTGCGTGCGTTTGTGTGGCGTGTGTGTATATAATATTATTCAGATATACAATAAAAAATAGGTGCACATGCACCGCTAATGTGTAATATTGTAATCATCAATTGCGTACGAGGACACAAAAAATTATATGTTACGAAAATAGAATTTCGGTGCGTAATTATTGGTCAATTAACTCGCTGCAGAACAACTATAATAATATTATGGTTATAATTTACCCACCTACTAATAATGTTCAAAAAATAAATAAATGGTTAAGCACGTGCTTGAGATGTGCGTATTATAACTTATAAGTGCATTTTAAAACACATAAAATATGTACCGAAATTACGCTGTACTGTAATTATTATATTACAAATTTTAAATAGGTTTTACATGCACTTTTTCCGGTGATAAACCGACAGACTATAAAACACTCTACACATACCTACTTTTAGGGCTTTCGTCTTGTTAACTTATTCACTATTAAGTACTATCACTTATTCATTACCTAGTATATAATACCCATATATAACTTGAAATTGTACAACTTAAAATGATTTCATTCAGAAAAATATGTTATCTTTGTAAACTCTTAATAAAATGTGTAACTATACTACAACAAAGCACTGCATATTAACTACCTCCCAATGAAGTCATCGTGTGAAATTAGTAAGATATTATTTTTTTTTCTCACGTAAGTATACTGAAAATTCACAAATGCCAAACTTAATTGGCACTTATCGACTGGTTATGTTCCAAATTGTATAGCAAGAAATTATTTCCCTCGAATGTACCAAGTTAATAAACGATCTACCATACTCACACAAACACTTATGTACCCAAACGTGGGTAGGTATTGACATAATTTATTGAATATCACCTTAAAGTAGTACATAATCATTGGCATCGACTTTACAGTATACTGTATACACCAGGCGGTAGTGGACTTCCAAGCTTCTTTCGGAGTGATTATTGGTGTTCATGAAAAACAAGTAGCATTAGTTTCTCACAGTGGAAAATTAATGTTCACAACTATTGTTACAAATGTGAAATATTGACTTTTGACTTTTGAGTGTTCATGGAATATTTTCATTTTTCTTAAGTCAGTTCCGAACTACTAAGTTAGTACCTAACTATATTACTTAGAAAGTAATAAAGAATTGCAACATTAAGTGCAAGATTTAACTACTAAATAAAAATATTTTTTTGTTCTGTTAAAATTTGGCTATAATTGTCACCTTCATAACCCGTGCCAAAGGTTCACCTTCCCTGGACTATACATTATAATACAGTAAAACCTCTAGATAACGGACACTCACAGGGCCGACAAAATTGTCCGCTGTTGGGAAAAATTAATAAAACAATATTTATGTTTTTATGTATTTATGTCTGAAAATTTAAATTTGATTGACTTTTTAAAAAATATCTTACTTTAGGTTTATCATAACATGATTTATTAAAATTATTTGGATGAAACAAAATATATTATACAAATAATTACTAATTGAAAAAAAAATCTGAAATTTTAGTTTGTTTTTTTTTCTTGTATTGCTATTTCCTCAAAATTAGACTGGAGTTGGTATTGATAATGAAACTGCATAACAATATCATTTATAATAATATTGTCCTAGTACATATTGTATTGTATACACAATAAGTTCGTATTTTTTGGATAGCTGTCCGTTTTTTAGATATATTTAAACGCTTCTGACTACCTAAACCTGTCCGCGTCCGTCATTCAGAGGTGTCGGCTATTTAGAGGAGCATTATTCATTATTTTCAACGGGACTATGTCGGGACCGGAAATTTTGTCCGTTATTGAGAAGTGTCCGCTAATTAGAGGTGTCCGTTAAGAGAGGTTTCATTGTACATAGTTTCCCGGCATGTCGATATCACATAAGTACGAGTTATAAATGGAGTGACAACATTTGAATTGAGAGACAATTTTTTTCAAATATTTTGATAGGTTAAATGCATTCATATATTTTATAAATATAAAAACAAATTTTTAATAAACTTCAAACGTATTATATTTAACATTCATAAAGTACTAAACGATTTCATAACAATTATTACTTATGTATGGTTAATATTATGAACAGGGCATTTTTTAAAAACCATTTAAAAATCCGACACATGGAGGTTTATTTAAAATTAAAATTTTTACAACTCACCTATAATCCTGTACCAATACGAGGTAAATTTTAGACAATTTGTTTCAGACATTGTTTTCAATGTAGCCAAAATATAAATTAAATTATAGCAAAATATTACTTATATTATTTTTTATCTTCAAAAAATACTTAAGTAGGTATAAATGTATAACAATAGCGTAGGATGCATGTAGGCGCTTAAACATTTATGAAAAAAATTGTCCATAAATCCAAAAAAAATATCCGATTCGGAAGGGTTACAACGTGGACGAGTGCACCCCTTGCCTCGGTCCACTACACAAAGTAACCTCGAATCCGAATGCAGAACGTAATGCGTATCACGTGCGTACCTACAATATTAATATCACGATAACAATTATTGCATCTACCTTATACATAGATGCGGATCGGTCGGTGGTTCGACTGACTCCGCCGAGCGGCGGCGGCGGCGGACACGGGGGAGAGGGGCGGTCGCCGGGGGGGGTGGGGGCGTTTCGGACCCGAAAGTTTCAGGTGCGGCCACGTCTGCGGAAGGCGCGTAAACGTTACTCAAATACGGCGGCACTACTATTTTACGAGTGTACACTCTCCCGCCGCCGTTGCACCGTCGCGACACGACCGCGCCGCGTCCGTCCGTCGTCGCTGTCTCTCGGGCCGTCACTCTCGTCACGCCGGCCGTCGGACGCAGTATATAACATCACGCTGCACCAAGTACGCGACACGACCGCGCGCTCCGCCATCGACGCACCACCGCCGGTGCACGAAGCGACTGCTAAGATATTATATTTTTTTCTTCTGCATGATATTGTCGGAAGACGTTAATAATAATTGTCGTGCACGGCCCGTCCGACATTTTCTCCACGAGGTGCGTAACAATTTTTTTTGCCACGAAAATTCCCGGCACCGTTCAGCGTAGACGTGGGACAACGCGCAGTGTACTCTCCGTTGTGCTGCGTCTACGCTCAGCGGTGATGCGAGTGCACGGCGACGTCTGCCACTGCGATTTAAACATAATTTGTACGCTCGGTGGCCCGCTCGCTGTTCACAAACGGACGGGCCTCGGAGACCGCGTGTCGTCGTAGCACTGTTGTTATTGTTGTTTTTATTGTTATTGTTATTAATTGCTTAACGTTATATTATTATTATTATCGTTAGGTAACGTGGAAGCCGTCAGCCGCGTGCTGCAGCTGGTGAATAATATTAAACTATTATAATACAGTGACCGACAGTAATAGCGACGCGAAGACAGGGGATAACGTCGCACCGCATAGCATCGCCAGCAGTCGAAATGACCAATCAACCGACCATAGTGATCAAGTAAATAAATTGTTTTCATAATAATTGATAAAAGTCATTACGCATAATATAGTGAATAAGTAGTGTAGGTAATTAATGGTTGGCAATATCGATGTATATCTTACCTGGTTTTAAACGTTGTCGTATTCGTATATTCGTTGTTTTGCTTTTAAGATTTATTGTTGGGTTAAGCTAAAGCATTTTAATGTCCATTTTTCGTATGTTTAGGGTTTTTTTCATATACATTACATTAAGAGCATATTTTCAGATTATGTAATTTTTTAGTGAGTACGTTTGGTGATTTTAGCTCAAATTTTATGGTGATTAATATTGAAATTTTGTACAGCAATTTTCCCGATTAAAAACTTGCTAATTTAGAGACTAAATTATAGGATTTGAGATTTTAATCTTATGCCCGTGTCATATAAAGTCAACAGTAAATTATTTCATTCTTCAAAGCCCATAGTTATTTTACAATGCTTTATTGTTGTGAACGTATTTTGGATAAAATGAGTAGAGAATAACAGAATAATAGTTAATATCTTGTAATAATTTAAAATGTATAGTAAATTAATAATCATTTTTATTGTAAAAACCACGAAAATTCATTACTATATAAAAAAACTAGAAAAATATTATTTTTTTTGTGTTTTAGCATATTTCTTATTTTTATGTGCACGACTACAATAATATTTATCACATTTTATTATCACCAGTAGGTAGTTTGAGCATATTTATTATAACGATTAAAAGGATAATGCGGGTTATCAGTTGTATTGTGTATTCTCCACCGTTCCATAATTATTTTTTATTTTTGTAAATAATTAGGCTGCAGGCGTCGAAGATTTTTTTATTCGAGATGGTCAATCGTCAATTCGTGAGGCTTTAATTTTCGTTCACGTTTCAAAAACCGAATTATTAATTCCCATTACGTGTTTGCATATTTCGTTTTTTTACGTTTTTAAGTTTAGGACCCAGAAGGTTTATACAACCATGGATACCAATGTACCTTTATATTTAGATATAATATGGTGGGTATAATATGCTCAATGTGTCAATGTCTGTCGGTGTATATAATATACCTTCGGGGGTGGCCGATGACTAAAGCTTCGCGAGCCGCTCCGTTAACTGCGACGTGAATAATATAATATAGTTTAAAAAAATCACTTCATCACACAACAACATCACTCTTAGAGGTTGGATCATGTTACGGTGGAACGGTCCAAAAAGACGCTTTTACAAAATTATGTTTATCGTCGAGTTGATAAAATTAAAAAAAAATTAATTTTTTTATTATTAGACTGTAAAAACAATTAGTCTCGACAATTTAAAAGAAAGAGAAAAAGAAAATACAAAAACTGAACCGATAGTGGGCGTTCTATTAAAAGCCACTTTTTTAAATTTTTTCATTAGAGTAAAAACAAAATTCAATTTTACGCGCTTTTTCACGGACGAATTATTTGGTTTTTTTATAATGCGTAACTTTTTATTTGTTTAATATTGAATAAAGTAACATAAATTGTGTCGTTTTAAAGACAATATTGTTTTATTCAGTGTTACACTGTAGAAACAAATATGTCACTTGGTGTCGTGTTTGATTGAACGTTCGTAACTTATTTTTCTTATTTCAAAACTATAAAATGTGCTGCCTATAACCTATTAGTATGATATTGTTTGAATGTCCGATTTTCCGATATTATTTTGAATTTTCATAATACAATTTTAAAATACGTTGTACATGATTCAATTTTTCGTGAACGCTATATGAGCGTAAGACGCTTCGAGTTTGCCTCCTCGGCTGTTATGAGTGATATTACTATGTAGGAGCCTACTACCTATAATACCATAAGTTAAATACCTATGTGTTGAAATACGATTTCGATCACATTTTTGTAGCTGATTATTGTTTTGAGTCGTCATGGCACGTTTCGGCTCAGCCGGTCTAGGGTCCAATATAGTAAATACTGTCTTATTATCTTCTTTTATTATCGTTATTATCAATATTATGTGCTATTTTTACAAATGGCTTAATTAAGTTTGTAAATGCTGAAAAGGTACACATAATATGGGAATAAGTATACATATTTTCTGTATTAGGTGTTTAGGTGTACATTATTATTCAAAATTACCGACTTAGTTTTACCAAGAAACCAGAGAGACAAACCTAGCTATGAAGTTATAATAATTGTTGTTGCTTTTATAGACGACCACATAATAGTATCGAAAAAATCAATTCAACAAACTTCTGACTTATGTTTCAAATCAGTTCATTTTATTATATTTTTACCATGCCTGAGGATCTGTATAGGAATAACTACTGAGCTACAATCTCACATTTCGCGATTTGTTCAACTGTCGGTTGCTGAGACAAACTGTTCACATAATATTAAAGTTGTTAAAATATAATATAGAAAAATATAAACACAAAACATTATGTCTCCCGGCATAACTTTAATACAATAAATTCCACCATGTTAGGTTTAAAGCTTAGACTCGTTTAATTTAGTATTCCAGTTGTCATCGTATTCTAAAGTATAGGTACTACTATCTATATCATACACATTAGAGATACCTCTGTATAGTTATATAATTAATGAGTGTGTTCCGGTCGTTTATTCAGTCGATTATCAAAGGATTATTACTTGACTACTGTCACACTCTTGTAGTGATACCCAATTTTACCGCTGACAACTAGACTCGACTGTTGAGTATATTATTTTACAGCTGTCATAATATGACTTCCCTAAATCTTGTATATATAGGCACAGTGGGTCAAAATCATATTATATAATTGTAATAAAATATCTCTCTTTCTCTAGCCGTTTTTTCCGAGCAATTCAGACACCCACCTGCGGCTCGAGTACATATTTATGTATAAAGACGTCGGTGAGCTGTGTATCATCACTATCATCATTCATAACTTTGGCCATCGTTTTCACAATTTTCCCACGGAACGATTGGATCGTTGTTTTACGTGGGTACAACAATAATATATTATAGGCAGTTGTGTTCCCATATAAGTCATAGGTAATATACGTCATAAACAGCGCCTAGAGGTGCTTTCGAGCTTAAGATGAATAAAAAAAGAACGCGGGAGGTATAGTGACGATTTTTTTGAATGAACTGATGGTGAAGTTTGACTATTATACGACAGTTGGAAATAATATAACGAATTGGGCTCTTCTCCGAGAAGTAAAAATCACTGTCGAATTATTTAAAATGTATTGATTTTTATAGATGTATTTTCTATATGTATTTGTTTATTTGAATAAAAACATTTTTGATTCAATTATATCATTAAAATCATAACATAAATATTGTAATATTAAACATAGACAGCCAATATATTACATCTATTACGATTCGTGTGCTTAAACTTTCGCTTTCAAAAGTTCCTACATGACGTGAATGGCGTGCAATATTACTTGAACGTATTATACTCGCGTGGTGTACATAATAATAATATTATATATAAATAAACAGGTGTCGGCGGCGGATCTGACCGCCGCGCGCCGCCGAGACGTTGCACTAGAGACTTTCTCGCGTTGTGGTTTTCGACGTGTCGGCAAGCCATCAAAATTAATAATAATAATATAATATATAAATAGTGTCCTGAATGTGGATACATATATATAGAGACGTGCCTCACTCGGCAACAACAACAAAAACAACAACAATAATAGTAGTAGGTAGTCACGCGTGTATGTGTTGTACTAATTTGCGGCGTAGGTAAATGTAATATATTATTTAAATTTATTTTTGAGAACGCATTCGTGAAAACGCAAAAAAAGCTTGGCCGTCGAATCTGGCGCCGTTCGCGGTGTGTACCTATATAAGCGTTTGGAACGTTTCACCCATATTGCACTGCCATCGCGGGAGGAGTATACACAGCCGTTGCAGCCGCGGGCAAACGAAAAAAAATCGTGACGAATCCGACGCCCTTCCTCATCAAGTGCGGTTATCCATTATTATGTAGATCCGTCTGTGATCTATTATATTTTCGTACCCGTATACTATATGCGGCTGAATAATAAAATAATATCATGATATATTATAGCCGTATTATTATTCGTATCAATAGGGCACCTGTACTGACGAAACTTTCGATATTCTGCGTCTGGCACGGTTAAATTGCGGTATATACAACAACTGTGCTGCAGGTATACGTATTATTATGAGTTCCAAAAGAACTATATTATTATGATGTATATATTGCGCCTTACAAATGGGTAGTACGGAATGCGAAAAACGCCGCCATATAATGGATTTTGTTTTTTTTCACGCATATTTTTTCCGCGATATTCGATACTAATAAAATAGTATATATGCTTTCTAAAAGTTGTACACCGGTGCAGACCGAAATGTGAACACACAAACATAAGTGTAAGTATAAAACGCGACACTTGTCTGGAAACCTGCTAACCTACATTACCCGAAACAGCATAATATTAATATATCATATTACCTGTGGACGTCGCATTAGTCGTAGGTATAGGAAATCGCACGCTTCGATATCCACGACGGGAACAACTTGGCAGTAATGTTATCAATGATACTATCACGTTTAACCAGTAAAAGGTATCTCTATAAAATACTATAATATGACTTGTTCACTCGGTACTGCAGCTATTTGCCCAATTACAATATCCATCTTTTCATTTACTCCAAGGTACTAAAATCAATATCAGCTTTCCCATAACACAGCAAATATAATGTATCGATATATCATATTTGATATTCAGTTTAAATACGTTTTTGTACATTCCTTAGTTAATAGGTACAAATTTATGAAGATAGTTGAAAATCAATGTATTAGTTTAAATATGTATATGATAACTTCTCTACATCAAGATTCTAATTTCCAAAAAATAATGTGTGCACAATGTATACAAGTTATCTTTTGTATGATATCTCAGTATCTGCTGTACAATATACACGTCATAATTAATATTTATTCTATACCTAAAAACGCTTATCCTAAATAACATAATATTTGCAGTAATATCAAAAAATCGAAAAAT